CTTCGGACTCCATACCTAGTGTTCTCCTAGCCACCCAGAGGCTCCCACCAGTCACTGGGAGGCACGTCATGTAGGCCGGCCGTGGGAAAAGAGCCTTGACTTCAAGAGCCCTAGGCCCAAGGGAGGCAAGTGTCGATCAGTCTCTCACACAAGCCTGTCCCACAGGCCCTGCCTGGAAGACTTCCCAGCAAGACGTGACATGAAGCAGCTGAGTCTGGATGCGGCCCTCACCAGGAGGGAGGTGCTCCTAGGGACAGCTACCTCAGTGTCCAAGTCTTTGCACAGCAGGTTCCAGAAGATTACAGGGCTGTATCCAAGGGTCCCAGGCTCTGGACTCACTGTCCCAGGGACTGTGGAGCCCGGGCCTCACTTTGCCTAACTAAGGAAGGTTTGGAGGACTGGCTCCTCCCACCACATGCAACTCAAACTTGCCTCCTTCAAGTGCGAGGTACAACTGCCACCAAGTCCCACAGGTCAGTAGAACTGGATGGCAATGGGGTTGGCCCTAGGCCAAGTCACTTCAGTCAACCCCCACAGTCTGATGTGCACGACCACAAAGATGTGTTTCCGAGCCACAGACACACCCTGGGCACCTCCCATCACACCCTCCCTGAAGCTCTTTCTGCTGGGTGGTTCAGTGCCAGTCCAGAGCATGCCATGGTGGTGCCCGGCAGACCATACCTGTGCAGGCAGCCCAAGGTGGCCTAGGGTGGGGAGGGTATCAGGCGGGTATCCCCCATCTCTTCCCCCATCTGTATGTCTGTCTGTCTATGGCAAATTGTGGACCTCCCACCCCCCAGCAGCTAAAAATCTCAGAACAAACTTTGATGTGATGAGAACAATGTTGAAAGAAACCCAGCCAGGTTTCAAAGTGGAAAGTCAGGGTCCCCCCAACTTCCCTCGCACGGACTCCATTCGATGGGCAAGGGAGCAGGTACACAGAACTCAAGTGACCTGCCTCTGCCAGCTACCATGATGGTACCCACTGCCGACAGCACCCTGCCTCACAGATTTCCTTCTGAGAATCCAGCCACCCCAGTGTCTCCAGCCCTAAACCCTACACTTCCTGCCTCCTCCCAGGGGGAAACAAACACCCAGGGGAAAGGCCACAGGATGGGGACCAGATGTTTACGACCCCTGCAGCCTCTGAGGAGCAGGCCCGATGATGCAGCGCTTCCATCAGTGACCAGAAGAGGTGAGCCCTGGGGACTCTGTGCTGCCCTCAGGAGACAAGGACCTGACCATCTGAGTTGCTGTCAGGGCAGCTGTGTCCTCAGGCTCCCTGCCTTCAGTCTGGGAGCACGTTTCTTTCCAAACCACAACAAGGAAGGAAGGCAGTTTTCTTAGCCAAGGGAAGAGGTTTGTCCAGGTTTCTCCACGTGGGCAGCAGAGTTGTGCATGGAGGTCTGTCCCCAATTCTGTCCCCAAGTGTCTCAAGGAGGCAAAGTGGCACAGGCGAGCCGATGGGGGACAGAACTGGTAAAGAACCAGCCGAGGTGTGGACACCCAGTGGTGCACACAGAACGTTTACCAAAGCAGGCTGTGAGCCGTCCCAGGGAACAAGCTTTGCACATCTAAAAAGACTGAAGTGATTGCATTCCAGTGAAGACAGAAAGAACCCTTTTAGAAAACTCCCCATACTCAGAAATTAAGCACCCCGTAGAACATCACAGTTTAAAAAGATTTATTTTTATGTGCATGGAGTATTTGCCTGCATGTATATCTGTACACCATGTGTTTGTCTTGTCCGAGGAGGCCGGAAAGTGGTTTTGGACTTTTCTAGAATTGGAGTCGATGATGGTTGAACCGCCACCACATAGGTGCTGGGAACTGAACCCGACCGTCTGCAAGAGCAGCCAGTGCTCTAACCACTGAGCAATCTCTCTAGTCTCTGTGGCTTAGTTGAAAAGTATCTCTTACATTTCTGGGTAGAGAACAGACAACAGAAAAAAGGAACTCTCAGTGGGTGAAGATGGAGTCCCCAGGTCAGGGAGCAGGAGGGAGGCCCCAGAGGGACAGTGCAGGGGACAAGAAAGATGCTCTCACAGGTAGGATGGATGGCAGAGGAGAGGGGGTGTGATGCTACTTTGACTGTTAGCTTGACACAATGAATCCCCAGGAGCCCAGAGATCAATCTGTGTGGATGCTCAGCCATGGCTTGGTTGGATCTTTTCCCCCTCACCCTTCAAGGGATTGTCTAGACTAGGAAGGTCCACCCTAAAGCTAAACCGAGAACCACCATTCATTGCTCTGCCTCCTGACTGTGACCCACCGTACCTGCTTGCTCAAGTTTCTGGGGCCATGACAGCATGGCCAGGGCAGTGAGCTAAACGAAGCCTCCACCTAAAACTGTCTTTATCAGACATTCTACCTCAGCAACAACACAAGGAACTACAGAAAATCTGTACTGAGAATCAGCCTCATTGCCATGATCTACCTGACTCTGCTTCCTGGGTCTTTGGGACCGTTTTTTGAGAAGAATGTGAGTTTGGAACTCTTGTAAGCAGAGATCAATGGATATTCTGGAAGGACCCTGAAAGACACACGCTGAGAGAGATGAGGGCCACAGAGGCCCCTTCATGAGGTTCCAGAAGGACAAGGACTCGTAGGGACTGGACTGGAGACCGTTCAAATTATATTGTAGTTAAGAATCCACTTCCATTCTATTCATCTCCCAAGATCTTGAATATAGCCCAACTTGAAGGAAATGGACTGATGGGTTTGACGGAGGAAAGTTCAAGAAAAGAGAACATTCAAGCTGTGGCATGGCTACTTACCACAGCTAATAGATACCCAGAGTAGAAAACCAGCAAAAACAAGGCAAAAAGATTTTAAAAATTCACAGTTTGATGGGGAAAAATTGGAGCAAATTTAAAAGTCTCAAAAAGAGCATGCATACAGCAATACTACTGTAGCTGCTGAGCACCAAACGAGAAGCTGGTGCTCCAGGTAAGGACGCTGGGGAAAGCCCCCACCATGGAAGCGTCTGTCTTGAAAGGAGAGTCTAAGCTCAGGGAGCTCCTGAAGGAGGGGCTCCCTGCTCAGGGTCAGCTCTCCAGTCCAGTGGTCCAAGGAGCCCATGCCGCATATCTAGTTGGCAGCATTGTTTACGCTGTGTGCTGAGGCCAGGCAGTCTATAGCAGTCAGTGTCCCTGAAGGAAGGCCCTGAAAGGTTACTATGTAAAGCTGTGAAGATAAAACCCAATTTGTAGTGGGGACCCACGGATGTTAGAGGTCAGGAGCATAGGACCTCTGCCAAGGAAAGCTGCAGGGATGGAGTGTAGCCTGAGATAGGGCTGCGTGTGCAGCAGGGCAGAGCTGGGAGCCCTTTGGAGCCCAGAGATTCCATTGTAAGCCCCAGCTGCCAGACATGGAGCTGCAGGACCAATGGCTTGTCTCACTTAGGTCTGTCCTCCTTACCATGCACCCATGCTTCTCTCTGGGTATGGGGTTGCTCACTCTGAACACTGTGTTGAAAGCATGTTTATTTTATAGGTGCTCATAGCTAAGACATGGCTTTGGCCTCAGATGAGACACGGGCTCTGGACTTTTGAATAATGTTGGAACTGTTAAAGACTATGGGGACTTTTGAAGTTGTACTAATGTATTTTGCATTGAGATAGCCATGAATCTATGGAAAGGGGCAGGAAGTTATGTCTTAAAACAGCTATGTTTGGATATCAAGTTGGCAAGGGGTAGGCTTGTAATGTCAGATTGACAGGATCCAGAGTCATCTAGGAGACAGTCTTCTGTCCATACCTGTGAGGATTGTCTTTGGGGAGGTCTGTGAGGAATTTCAGATTAGCTGAAGTGGAAAGACCCTGCCCCCAACTGTGGACAATAAAAGGAGAGCTGAATGCCAGCACCCAATTCTACTTCCTGGTTGTGGATGCAACATGACCAGCTACCTCAAGCTCCTGCCTTCCCTGCCATGGTGGACTTTACCGGAGCCAAAATAAACCCTGCCTTCCTTCGGCTGCCAGTCAGGTATTTTGTTGCTAGATGAGACAAGTCACTAATGTAGGCTGCTACCAAGAACCCTGGTTCACAAAACGTGTACAGTTGCCATTTGACAGACAGGAAGAATTTCAAGGGGGAAGTCTGTGTTTGGAGCTTGGGAGACTGCAATGCTCTCTGGATGGATGTATCCAGGTGTTCAGTCCAAGAGGGGACTGAGATGTGTCCCTGGAAGAGAGCTGGGTATATTTGGAAGATTTGCAGACATGTGTGTCTGAGCCTGCGTGGGCTGGTGAGAGAGAACCTCGAGTCATCCCATTCTGAGGCAAGAGAGTCGTTCAGCTTGAAGAGCCCAGCTTAGCATTCTCACACCACACAGGAAGGAAGTTAGGCCCAGGACAGTGACTGCCTAAGGGTCATGGGAAGACTGAGGAAAAGGATACTGACAAAAAGACGTCTTTTTGGATGTATGAAAATGGATTACGGAGATGGTTACACAAACCATTGACTGCTCTGAGGCCTACTGAGTTGTATGAGTCAAATGGCATGCCAAAGGGGGGAGCTTCTCAAGCCACCTAGATCCGTCCCCTGGGTTTCCAAGTGACTCAACAAGGTCATCTGCCCTGGATGCAGCAGCAATAGAGCTTGAGTGCGGAGACAGACCTAACGTGCACCAGTGTGGGAGGCGGGGCTGCAGCAGAGTGGGGAGGCTGGCAGAGAAGGGGCTGCCAGGGAGAGCAAACCTCAGTGCCACGCTGGCTGAAGAGGGGCCGAACACATGTGGAGACAGAAGACTGCAGGGCCTTGTTCGCTCAGTTAGAGACAAGTCTGCATCCCTTCTGCTCAGATGGTTTTTAAGGAAACACAGCCCTCTGGATAGTATACGAGGCCGGCTGGGCCCACCTGACACTGGTGGACAGGACTGTTTTTTCACCCTCACCAAGTGTCAGACATGCAGGGCCCAGGGGAAGCAAACTCCATCTCTGTGTGCTGGGCTGGCAGGCACACAGCTGCACTCGTGAGAAAAACAACAGACTCGCTTCTATTGCTGAACACCAGGGTGCCACTTTATTACTTCCCGTCTGTCACATACCTGTCGATGTTAGCACAAGGAGAAAGGCTGGCCAGAACTAGAGGCAGCTGACCAATCAGCCAACAAGTGTGTACTCAGCACACACCGACTCTGACTCGGTAGGACATCTTTGTTCAGTCTCATGACTATTAAAATCGGTGTCAAGATTGTCACATCTTTAAATACAGATAGAATTCCAGAAGTACATAATTATATATATATATATATACACACAGAAAAATACAAGACTAATTTTTCCCACAATATTTAATTTATACACTGCTGTAACTCTATGTGACTTCTGAAGACAGGTTAGGGGACAAGTCACTGGTTAGAGCAACAAGTAGTTTGGTCCACTATTGGTGTGATGGTGTTCTGCTCCCTCCCTGTGACAACATCCCATGACATACAACACATGCACGGACATCCACTTGTCAACAAATGGACAGACATTTGTGTACCCAAAGGGTCACCAACCACACACAACTAATAAGGCTATGATACAGCTCTGCAGCTTAAATGGCCAACACTGCTGATCTAAGGTGAGCACCGTATATACACCTGGATATAAAACCACTGGAGACCAAACGTGTACAGCTGAGTTCTGAGGCTGGACGTGACCACACAAGAGTATGTACATTACTTGGAAAACGGCTGCGACAAAGTTTATTGCAATGCCCCTTATAAACGTCTCTCCTCGCTCACACAGACGTGGCTCTCACTGTCTCTGTGAACCAGATTGCTTTCTGGCCCTTTGAAGATCCCTGCTTAAGAATTTCAAGCAAATGTGTTCTATGGCTTCACCCACACCTATCTTCATCGCTTTCAACTATATAAACGTCACGCTGAACGGGACTGTAGCTTAAAGCACGAGCGTTAGCCTAGGTCTAGGGAGTATCTTAATATCATTTTACTTAGTATGCCAGGTTCTACTGTGAAGTTCTGAGTAATATACATTAACCTAAAGTAGCAGAGTGAGCACTGAAGAAGTGTCTGGCCTGTGCCCTGCCTGCTCTGAACGACGTGGTCAGCTGCACCTCTGCTGTCACTCAGAGTCAGGAAAGGGTGGAGTGTGGGAAGGACGCTGGGCCCAGCCACACCTATCCACAGGTCACTTGTAAGTACTGTTTTCAAAACCCCGCAGGGCACAGTGTGAAAAACAAAACAAGACCAGCATCTGGGCTTCCCAAGATTAGGGAAGACAGTGCATCCATCAGAAAGATGCCTTGGGAGTTGATCGATCAGTCCGGACTGGAGCTCTGACCAGTGTGTGTCAGTGGGCTCTGGTGAATGGAAGGAGCCGGAGGCCACCCAACTCCAGGGAGTTGTTTTATTGTCAGTTTGACTTTGCTGTGCACTGTGGCTACTGCAGCAGGCACCCTCCAGGGTCTCCACTCCACAGCTGTGAAGGAACCCTCTGTGTCCTGCAGGGGAAGCTGACACAGAGCCTCTGTTCTGTCAGACAGACACACACTCTCTAAATAGTTAAGACAAGAGTTCACCTCATCACCTCACAAAAGATTGTCTGCTTGTAATTTTACAGGGGAAGCTGCCTCACAAACTGCTAAGTGGATCTCACCTACTACAAAGAGGAAAATCTTTGTCAATGAGAATGTAAGAGCCCCAACTGTTCTCACGCTATCGCTTAAGACAAACAGGTGTGGGTGCTCAAACCGTGGCTGGGTTCTTGGTGCACAGGCCCTGGGTGGCTGGCAGCGGCTCCTCCCAGGCCTGTGGCCATCACCACGTTATTGCTTTGGTTCTGTCTTGGGCACCGGTGTGCCTCAGAGCACGGAGTTTCCCTATCACCGGAGGTCAGACAGGAATTTGGGCTTTTCACAAGGAAACGAAAGCATTTTCCCTCCAGGTTAAGTCAGAACATGGATTTCTAAGCGCTCCATTTACGTTGGGTTCCAGATATACAATTTCACTCTGGTCATCCACACTGAAATCATGAATGTAAAATCACACAGTAGACTTTTCGGCTGGAAAAGAAAAGTAGCGTGTAGCAGCATGCACAAAGACCATGCATTGTCACGTCAGCACACAAGAGGTGAGGGAGCGCTCTACAGGTCAGATGACGTGGCAGCAACTGGCCGGGCTGGAGGCGCAGAGCAGCCCTTCCTTGCGGCTGCGCTGGATGTTCACAGAGATGGTCTTTTCGCACAGAGGTAGCTGGAGTACATTGTTCCGCAGCTTCTTGGTCCTCACCGGGTCCAGGTCGGTGGAGGGGCCGGGGCCAGGGCCGCTGATGCACATCTTCCACGTGGACTTCTCCTGCACCTTCACGCTGGAGAACAAGGCCTTCTGCGGGTCCAGAATGTACTTGGCGCCGTGCAGCTGCGAGCCTAGGCACAGGCTCACAAGTTTGAGGCTCTGCACAAGCTCCGCACCGCGTGGAGCGGCAGAGGCCGAGGCTGGGGAGGATGAAGAGGAGTCAGGGCCCGCACAGCGCCTCGAGGAGCCTGCTGCACCCGATGGGGTCCCGCCTGAGCCACTCTGGCCGCCACCGCCCGTGCCCTGCTCGCCCGGGCTGGTCTTGTCCATGCCACCACCGCTACTAGGCTTGCTCTGGCCGCTGCCATCGCCCTCACTGCCCGGGGGTCCCTCGCTGCTGTCACGCCGGTGCCATGAGTAAGCAAAGCCGCTGTCCTTGTCCAGCCGCCGGCGGCTCTCTGAGTCGTCATCGCTGGTCTCAGAGCTGCTGCAGCTCGAGCCGCGGCCCTGGCTTTTCCTGCGGTGGTAGCGCTTGTGCACTGTGCCTGGCGAAGCGATGTTCATCTTCAGCCGGCTCAGTTTGGGCGGCAGGTTCTCGTCCATGTCGAACTCATCGTCGGACTCACCCTCTTCGAAGATTTGGTTGAGCACTGGGGCACTCTTTCGAGATGTCAGGCGGTTAGTGACTGATGGCTTCCGGCGCAGCACCACCTGTGTGGACAGGGACACAGGCTTCTTGTCCTCCTCGTCCTCCTCCTCATCTTCTTCTACCCTGAAGAGACACTTCCGCCCGCTGGCAGCAGGCTTCAGGTTTGCAGGTGGCACAGTGGACAGTGCTGGCCCAGCCAGCTCCGGGAGCTCGTCACACAGGCCTTTGCCCCTGTGGCCATTAAGAGCGCTGTCGGCAGCCCGAGCAGGAGACTGTGGGACTGTGGCATGGGACAGAGGGGTGGCAGTGAGGTCATCCTCAAGGTCTTGGGGCACATCGATTTTGGTTGGCCATGACTGCCTGTGTGACAGAGGAAAAACAATCGTCATGTAGTTGCTGGTCTATCCTGGGAAGGCAAAGTGTGAGGACCTGCCTTCAGATTCTAGCCACCCACGGAAAGTCAGAGGCGGCAGGCTGAGCACTCTCGAAATCCAGCACCATTACAAGATGGTGGATGGAGGCTGATTAGTTCCAGAACCACTGGCCAGAGATTCCTGTTTCAAACAAGGTGAGGACTGAAACGCAAGGTATCTTTGAACCTCCACACACAAGCCATGGCAGAGACACACAGCTAGGATATCCACAGGTGTGAAAAGCATTTCAGGTCCATCAGTAGGGACGCCAGGGGGCAGATGTAGCAACTTCCCACCACAGCTGTCAGAAAAGACACCTAAACCTCAGCACCACATAGTTCTACTCACATGTCCACACACTCCTACACACAAACATCCAGATACTCCCACATACACGCACATGCAAACATGGTCATCACATATACATGTACATATATACATGTACACACACACCCTCTGGCTCTCACAGCACACATGAGGTTTGCCTGGAATGCCCAGCACAGACCTCACAGGATGGTATGAAAGCTCAGTATTGATCAAAATAAATGGAAATGGATGGCAGATTTAAACGACAGAGATAAATTCAATTAATAGCCTGGCTAGTACAGACACCCACACGAGGGCACTGGAGGGAGAAACTGCTCCTTAAACACTGTCTTTCAATCCGGGGTGCCTGAGGCTCCTGACCATCTTCTCTGTTGAGGGAAGCGTGGACACCAGAGGCTGTCATGACACCAATGGCATTTACGACAGCTACTTTCACAGGCTCCTTCCTTCCTTCTCCCCTTTGGCCTTGGCAACACCTGATGAGCGCTCTCCCCACCATGGGCTTCCACTGTGGAGAAATATCACAGTCTGGCAGCTCTCCTTTCCTGACACGACTCACCTGCCAAAAGTGGTGACAACTGGTAGAGCCAGCAAGGCCAAGAGATCTTACTGGAAGGGAAGGGAAGCTGCAAGCGAAACTGAAAAGCCAATGGCGAGTGTGGAGAGGGCAGCGCTGACCCCGTCAGCCACTGAGCGCCTGTGCGGTGAATTTTCTGAAATCCAGTCTGGAAAGGGTTATAACCACTCCCTTCTGCAGGCGAAGAACTCAAGACTGGTGACAGGCTTGAAGGACAGTGACTGCTAACCCTCAGGGCAGGCTTCACTCCACCACACAAGCCTGAGGATCAACGCCAGCAAAGGTTCTTCTGGTCAGTGTGGTCTAACTCAGGAGGTCAACAGTGGTTGGTACTCAGCTACATCAGAGATATTATGTTTCCTGAGACCCCACAGCTAATTAATCAACTGAATGCCCCTATCTAAAAAAATTCTTCCAAGTAACCAAAAGGAAATTCACCACCCACCGCGAGCACACAGCAAATGAGCACAATATTACCTCTGTGGAGGCAATGGTCATTCCTATGAGGGTGAGGGTCCTCCTGCCCGCAGAATGAGGAAGCATCACACAGTCCCCTATTTGAGAACATTAACTCACTAACATCAACAAGGGCATTTTTCTCACCTAAACTGGGCCTTGATGTTGCTGGGGCTCGCAGACCGGGTCTGGACCTCCTTCTCTTGCTTCTCTCTCAGGATCCTCTCAGCCAGTAAGAAGTACGTGGCCGTGATATGGTTATACCTATTGGTTTCCAGGGCTCTGCAGAGACAGAGCAAAAGCAATCAGAAGCCATACCACTAGGTTTTTACAAGATTTTAAAAACAGTATAACCTAATGAAATCCAGAATCTGGGAAGCTTTTAAAGTGAGACAAAAATACAAACTAGAGAGAGCTAAACACTGTAGTTACTTAGGTTGTTACTGAAATCTAAAAAAAGCAACTGAATAAAAATGTTCAGATCAGTGAGAAAAGAGCAAACTGCTGATGTAGCTGGACTGGAGTCAGCGCTGCAGACATAAGAAAAGGCAACAGGCTTCTGGGAGCATGTTGGCATGTGGAGTTGACTCTTGCTGGGGAGTCTTGCTCCCACAAGAAGAATGGACTAAAGACAAGGCCCATGCCAAAGACCCCAACCCTAACCGCACTCTGTGAGCCACGGCCAATCAGAATGGGTGGAGGTAATTTTACTTTTGCATGGACTCGCAGTTTAGGCACTGGAGAGCAATCGATGCAATCTAGAGGCTGCTGTTCTCACCCTTTCCTTTAGTGCAGTCATTGCCTGCTCGTCCACTTAGATAACAATGCTCGCAGCACTCCACGTCAGGCCGCACCGTGGTGGCTGAGCTGGAGACACAACAGTAAAGCACATGGCTTTGTCAGGGCAACCTCACAGGAAGGGACACAACTCTGCTTTCTGGAAGCCTCTGGCTTTGGTGAACTGCAGTACGCATGAGAAATACCTACTCAAGTTCTGGGGTGAAGTCATGGGAGAGTGAACTCTCACGCCGGTTCTTGAGAAAGCAGCTGCCTGTGTCCAGGGGAGTCCTTTAAACCAGGCCTGCTCTCAGAGTAAGCAGTACCATGCAGCCAGAGTTAGTACATAGCAATCCCACTGTAGTGACGCAAAAGGCAGGGCGCTCTGAGCCTGTCATGATGCCCTGATCTCTGCATTCACAGTGGGACCCAGGAACGATGGGGACACTTCTACAGTGTACACTGAGACACTAACCATCCTATTCCTCTGCACTTCTACAGGTATCAAGGAAGGTCAAGGTACCTACCCACTGACACCACCTGCCAATGGCTTACCTGTCCACTAGAATAAAAGGAACAAAAGTTCATGTGCCAGACCCTGGGCCATGACTCAATGATGCAATGGCTGCCAACTGGGAGCCCCACCTGTGCTGTGGTTTAAACGTGAACTGATGGCGTGTCTGGGGAGACTGTGGCACCTTTAGGAGGTGAAGAAGTGCTGAAGACGTGGGCCACTGGGGCAGACCTGGGAGTTTTATGGCCTGACCCCAACTCCTATTCACTCTCTGCTTCCCGATGGCAGAGCCGGTGTGAATAGTCAGCCTCCTGACCCTGCCTCCATGCCATCCACCAAAATGACTTATTCCCGAAACTATAGGGCACAATAGCCTCCCTCAGTCACAGCAGTGAGAAAAGGAAGCAAGCAGTGTGACCCATTAGTGTCTAAAGGGTACAGGGAATCAGGAATCCTAGACCTCTGCCCCAGCACCAACAGACACAGACATACTCTACGATGGCGTCGCGGTCTGCGATGTCCCCGAGCACCATGCGCTGGATGATGCTGTTGTGCTCCTCTTCTGAGAGGTTCTTGTAGGACACCAGGGGGATGTTATACTTTGTGGCTGGTGAGGGGTCCACTCCCTGGAGCCAAGGGTGGCTTTCAATCTCTTCCAGAGAGGCTCTCCTTTTGGGGTCTCTCTGCAGCATCCGTGTGATCAGGCTGAGAAGAGAAGGAATGGTTACTGAAGCAGACAGCTGGCAAGGACTAGTAATGATGGGTGTCACCACCAAGCAGTTTCTTACAGTCACCTTTCTAGTAATGATGGGTGTCACCAACAGTTTCTTACACAGTCACCTTTCTAGGCTTGCTGACGAATTTTTACAAAAACTGCTGCCACCATATTTACAAAATAAAACAATCTCAGCCCCTTAGTGTCCCTGATGACGAACAAAGCTCCCTGCTTTTTAGAAGTAACAACCCCTGTCCCTGAATCACAAGCTGGCCTAGTGCACTACCCAGCTTATTTCACAGGAATGGATGACTCTCCTGATGGAAAAGAGTTTATGGAAGAACTTTTTAGAAATGTGTTGACAAAAAGTAAACAAGGGACGCTTGATGCTAAAACAGGTGAAGCAGGTATCATGGGGACAAACAGCTGGCAGCTTCAACCACCCTGCTTTGTGCAAAGGCCACACTGGGTTCATGCTACTGAGTACAAGGGGCAGCAGCTAGTGATGGTGGAAGAAAAGAGAGGATCCCATCTCAGTGCCCAGTGAGAAAGGTGAAAGAAATCCACTCCTCACAAGAGGACGAGAAGGAAGCTGTGAGCTCAGCAGTGGCTCTGGAAGACACCTTTCTGTAGAATGTACCTTAAACTTCCCAACAATATTTCAAAAACTAGAGCAGAGGACTGAAGACAACTGGAGGAGCCATCAGCAAGACCCCAACAGAAAATCAGAATACAGATGCTGCTGAACGTGCCACAGACTTTCACTGTGCTCAGGTAGAAACAAAACTCAAAAATATGACTGGGAAACAAGAATAGGCAACATTATGCTAGACGGGCTTCTAAAAGTGAAAAACAACCACTGTAATTGAAAAAAGTAAGCAATGGACACATTTAAGAAATTAAATGTAAGCAAATTCATGAAATGAAATACAAATCCAAGAAGACACTTTTCTCTGTAGACTGAGACAGAAAATACCAAGAATGAAAGATGAGATGAAGTGCAAACAGCTAACAGCCTAGAGGATATAAAAAAAGAGAGAGAAAGCATATTTGGGAAGGCAGTAGCTGAGAATTTTCCAAATCCATGAAAGAATGTAGCTCATAAGCTAGAGAGCCTAACACAGTCTAAGCACATGGAGGCTCCAAGAGAAAAGCAGAGCTGTGGAGCAGGAGCTAAGGCAGACAGCTGGCTTCCCAATGCAGCAACGGATTCTGCCGAGGACTGGCCCAGGCTTTCTAATCGCATGGCCTTCATGGACACACAGCATAGACACTCTCAAGGCAGCATTAGCCACCAACAGCAAATGCAAACATGAAGGATGTCATTCTGGTGGAAGAATGCAATTCTAACTGAGAAGGGAGCTAGCAAAGTTCACGTTAAACATTTAGAAGATTATCAACAATTTCTGACTATATAAAATTTTAATCTGTAGTTAGAAAAAATTACTAAAATATTAGATAGTTAAAATATTAGGATTTTAAAATGTTTTAGAAGACAATAGAGAGAAGTATTAATTGTAGATTTTTTAAAAAACTAAAATAATAGCCTACAACTCCCCAGCTGGCTGAAACATGAGATAAATGGCAGAAAAGGGAAATCTCTACCACCCTCTGGGTCAGAAGGTAAGGTCACAGGAGACATGTACAGAAATACATCCACACCTGCATCTACCACTCACCACAACAAATGCAGATGGGACAAGCTCCACAGCTCAAAGGACCGAAACTGACATTCAAGAAAGTCCAGACTGCTCAAAACATGAGGAAAACTCATACACAGACGCTGGCCCAACAGGGCAAGTGTGGGGAGCCCTTGAAACACCACACACAGGCCTAAACAGGAAGTATTACTCTGATGTAAACTGACACAGAGGGCTAATTCAATTCACCAGGAAGACAGTAGCTTTCAACTTACCTGCATCTAAGAACTTTACTTCAAAACTCTCAAAGCAAAAACTGATAAACTTTAAGAATAAAGCTACCATCACAGTGGGAGATTATCTCAGTAAGTGAAGAAAACTCTGGATGCAAACAACTTTTAAAAATATAATTAATGAGCTTGACCTTAAAGATATATAGACCTCTGACCCCAATTCTACCAAGAACAAGACTGTAACAATTATCTTCATGATAGGCATAAACAAACCTCGAAAATGTGAAAACATGGCAACACACAGACTGTATTCTTTGACTATAATGTAGCTTAGAAATCAAAAGCATCAGCTAACTAAAAATAAAACCACCTGTAAACAAGGAAGGCATCAAATAAGACAATGAAAACTAGAAAATTCTATGAGCTCAATAACAAAGACTATTGATCAAATTCCGTGTGATGAAGCTAACCTGTCCCAGAAGCAATGTATAGTCCTAAACATTTTATCGTAAAAGAGGCTCTATGAGCGGAATAACTAAGGTTCTGAATAACAGAATCAGCTCCTGGGTCAGGGAAGAAATAACAAGGACAGGTAAGAAGCATCAGAAGCCAGTCCTTGTGAAGAGACGGAGGACAACTGGAGGACGCAGCCTCATCAGCAGCATCCTGGTTGGTAAAGGTCTCACAGACACTCAAGGCCGATGCACCAGGCAGTCAGATAAAATGGGCTCCTTCCTTAAAATACGCCACTTAGCAAAACACACTAGAAAAAGTTGGGGTTCGAGGCAGGGTTTCTCTGTGTAGCCTTGGCTGTCCTGGAACTAGCTATGTAAACCAGGCTGGCCTTACACTCAGGGAAATCCACCTGCCTCTGCCTCTGGAATACTGGGATTAAAGGTGGCATCGCCAGCACCCACTGTTGCTTTGTTTCTTATCTAAAGGTCTTACAGTTATTAAAACAATCCTTCTAGGAAGGAGACATGGAGGCAACATCTCACATCTTAGGAAAGGAGCATCCATGTTGATTCTATAACCTGTGGGCTTCAAATGATGCAGTTTGATGTAAAGTGAGATTTGTTTTTAAATGGGGATAGAGAAGATAATCTGGCCTGTACTTGGTGTATACCTGCTTCCTAGGGGGATAGTAAGAGCAAGAACCTGAGTCACCACCCACACACAAAGCTCCCCTTGTCCTACAGCACAAAATCACCGAACACACACACAAACTTCCCGTGTGCTCCAACCTAAAACCACCACATACACCAACACAACTCCATTATGCTCCAACCTAAAATCACTACCAACAGACACATACATATACAGAGCCTCCCGTGTGCCCCAGTCTAAATCACCAACACACACTCACAGCACACACTAGACTCATACATGATCTAACCTAAAATCAACAAGCACATATGATCTACTGAGTACTACAGTGTAAAACCACCCTGACCAACATAAACATACACACAGCCTTCCATGTGTTCCAGCCTAAAATCAACAACCACCAATACAGGAGACAGGACTTCTCATGTGCGCTAGACTAAAATCATCATCACACCAACACACAGCCTCCTGTGTGCAACAGCCTAAAATCACCACCAACAGCAACCCATACACAGCCTCCTACATGTTCCATCCACAAATCACCACCATCCCACACAGAGCCTCGCCTGTGCTCCAGCCTGAGCTGTATGCTTCACACTGAACCCTCATCATTTTCACAGTAGCCCTCGTAAGTACACTGCACCATACTAACATAGGCAGAAGCAAAAAAGCCAGCATGTGAGCCCACAGAATTGAGTGCCCAGGTTGGGATTCTACCTGAAAAAGAACCCTCAATCTGTTGTAGTTCTTCCTTACAGCTGACAGGAAAAACTCAAAATTTTGTTGATGCAGAAAAAAAATTTAACCGGTAACTACAATCTCGGCTGGTTTGTTTAAAAATATCACAAACTTGAAACACCTTTTTCCAAGACTGCACCTCACTGGTGACGGCCCTATAACCCTGAAAACTCACAGGGAGAAACCCCAAAGGCAGTCAGTGCTGGCTTCCCACAGTGCACAGCCTCCTGTGCTGGGAGGACGTGAACTCGGGACAGGCTGCTGTCTACTAAGACATGCTGCCACGAGACGGTCAGGAGGAGCCCTGCAGCGACTACTCCTGCCAGAGGAAAGCCCACGGCTTTTCTGGGGTCTCAAACAGTACCCAACAGTCTTGCTTTTGCCACTGAAGAAAAAGGCAGATGAGGGAAGGTCTTAACCCCAACTTCTGGAGGCTGAAAAGGCAAAATGGATTTCTTGAAAACATGGGTTAGAAATAACCAAGAATGTTTTGTACTCTTCTGTTGAATTTCTTATCAAGTACTAATGGGTGGCCCCAAACAATAACAGTAGAAACATTCATAAATTAAATGAACTCAAATCCCTGCATGCTGAAGGTATGTCAGGCCTCTTTGTGCGTTGGTGAGTCAGCTTCTGTTTAATGGAGTTGCGCCGTGTGCACAGGGTTTACTTACTCCCTGCAGCCTGCAGACACGCGGGGCGGCACAGTGTACTTGCAGTCCATGATCATGGTCAGTGTCTCGCTGTCATTGGCCTCTTGGAAGGGCGGCTGCCCACACACAAGCATGAAAAGGATCACGCCCAGGCTCCATATGTCTACAAAAGAAAGACAATATTTAAATACTGGAGTATCTAGAAAACCAGGATCATTAGGACGTGGACAGGTAGGCTAACAAGCATTTTATCCTTGAAGTAAAACTACACAAAGCAGACTGCAAAATCTCAACAGAGCAGAGGGAGTCAGCCTGTCAAATAGGAGGAAAACCAGGCTTAAGCCAAGGGACAAGGCCCTCTTCCCCCAACTGACTGTAGCACACCCAGCATTAAAAACATTGAAACTGCGAGGCTGGAACGATTTGCCTGAGGTCAGCATTATCTCCGTTGCTCTCCCTCATTCTGGGGTGGTAGCCAGGTCACACAAGTGCTGAGAGAAAGCTGCAGCTCAGAGACAAGCAACATTTAGCTACCACACAAACCAAACAAAAGCCCAAGCTGGGTCTCCACCATTTACATGGTAGAGCTGGGCCCACGGTGTAAGTACTCAGCCTGCAAACAGTAAGAAGAAAAGAAAAGTTAAGACATGGAGGACTGGGAGAGAGACAGCTCACCTGCGAGGGAGGAGCTGTCTGCCCCTTGCACAGGACCCGAGTCGGGTGCTCAGCACAAGCTGCAGAGGCTCTGATGCCCTCTCTTGGTCTCTGTGGGCACTGCACTCATATGCGCATCCCCCCAACACACATTATGTAAAAAGTAAAAATAAATAAAGTCTTCATATTTTTTAAGGAGAACGGCTAAGTTTCTTGTCATTAAGATATCCTGGTATTGCCCAGCTTTGGACAAGTTGTTGTCCTGACAAGACCCTACCCAGTGTGAAGCTGCAGGAACTAATATCTGAGGATTCACAAAGACAGACTACTTCCTACCTTTTGTCTTTAAATAAAATACAAATCTATCAGGAGGAAAAGTGATGATTTTGGAATTTTCTGAGGTTGAAAAAAAGATTTAAGAGGATTTAAGGACATCACAAATTAATTCATTCCAGAAATGAAAATATGTGTGGTAATACACAAATGCAGGCACACACACATACATATACACATACTCACACACTCACACTCTTCTTCCTCTCCGTCTCCGTCTCCCTCTCTCTCTCTCCAACAGCTTCTGGATACACACTAAGAGAACTACGCGCCATGGAGTCGGCCATGCCATTACACCTGCTCACAGTCAACTGCTGTTTTCATGTAAGCCTAAAATACCCAAAATAATGGCAGTACCAAGCTAAGAAAACATAAGTCTGCGAATCAAATATCATTTCCTTGGTTCAAATGGAAGAGGAGGCAGTGAGCCAGAGCCCACCCTCCCTCAAGTGTGGCTTCTCAGGCGTGTGGCACACTTTGTCATGGTGTACTTATGAAAGGAGGACACATACAGACCACTGTGTCTAATCCGGAGGACAGACCTGGCCCCATCCTCAACACTGGCTGCCTTATCTTAGGCCTCAGAGGTCTCTACTCCAACAACTTCAGTAAGGACAGTCAACCACACTTACTCTTTAAAAAGACATTGACCAGTGTTGAAATCTCGTCTAGTCAGACCTTAATCAAGGTTTAAAGGAAATGTAACTGATTTTTAACTTAAACTCTCCTTGTACAACTTTTAAAGATTTATATGTATGAGTGGCCGGCCTGCCTGCCTGTCTATATGACATGTGCACGCAGTGCTGTGAAGGTCAGAAGAGTGTTGGATCCCTGGAACTGAAGTCACAAACAGCTGAGAGCCATGGCAGTCATGGAATCACCCTCTGAAGCTGTATAAGCCCATAATAAACTCTTTCTCTTATAAGTTGCCTTGGTTACCATGACTTAGGACAGCAATAGAAATGTAAGACAAGGGTCATTTCCTCATGCAAATGAACACTGTCTACTGCATGGTTAGAGGGGCACCTACGAAGGAGGTCAATATAGCAAGCAGACCCTAGAGTCTGGCTAGTCCTTGTACTGTTTCTCCACATAGAACTACTTAGAAATCAAAGGACTTGGAAACACATCCCTGCACTAAGTGATGGACACAAGGCCGAAGCATTTCAGTGAGAACCATAAGGCAACATCCAACAACCCCTGAAGTGGACAGCCCTCCATGAGGAAGGGGGTCAGCAATGAGATGCAGGCCTGTCTCCCCATCCACAGCACAGCTTCAACAACCTGTGTAGCACTGTGTAAGAGAATCTACAGACTCCCTACAGTATATACACGGGAATGTCTATGCAGGCACTGTTCTAGTCTTGCTGTTGCTGTGATGATACACTGACAAAAAGCAGCTTACAAGAGAACAGGATTTATCTGGCTGACACTCTGAGGTTACAGGTCATCACTGAGGGAAGTCAGGGCCAGAACTCAAGCATAAACTTGAAGGCAGAAAGCCACAGTTGTTGGCTCACAATTAGTTAGCTTTCTTATACAGCCTAGGGTCACCTGCCCAGGTAATGTTACCCACAGTTGGCTAGGCCCTCCTACATCAATTAATAGGACAATCCCTCACAGACATACCCCAGAGCCCAGCCCAATAAAAACAATTACTCAGTCGAGACTCTTTCATGTGATTCTTAGGCTATGTCAGGTTGACAATTAATGCTAGTCACATAGCAGTACTATTATAGATACACAAGGACCTCAGTGTTCTGAGTTGATATGAAGTGTCCTGGAACCGATCCTCTCTGGACACTTGAGGACTGTTTTCTATTCCACATTTGTTTTTCTTCTCTCTTTTTTTTCCTGAATTACAAGTACTTTTCTATGTTTTTTTTAAATTTTAGAAACAATCTTATTTTACGTATCAATCCTCCCATGCTTCCCACCGACCCCCCCAACCTACCCCTTCCACCCACTCTCCAAGGTTCCCCCAAAGAGAACCATCAAAGTCCATCACATCATTTTGGGGAGGACCTAGGCCCTCTTTCATGTATCTGGGCTGCAACAGTATCCCTCCATAGGACATGGGCTCCTGAAGTCCATTGGTGCACTAGGGATAAACACTGGCTCCACTGTTAGAGGTTCTATAGACTGCCCAGGCACCCACATTCAGAGGGCTTGGTTCAGTCCAATGCTGGTTCCCCCCAGCTTTACGACTAGGGTCTCCATGCTTTCACTAGGTCAGGTCAACCGTTTCTGCAGGTTTCTCCAGCATGGTCTTGGCTCCTTTGCTCATTCCTCCTCCCTCTCCACAACTGGATTCTAGGAGTATGGCTCAGTGTTTAGCTGTGGGTGCCTGCTTCTTCTTCGACCAACTACCGGATGAAGGCTCTAGGAATGGCAACCAAGGTAGTCATAAATCTTATTATAGGGGAAGGGCATCAAAGGCAGCCTCTCCACCACTGTCTAAGTTCTATGTTGGGGTCATCCCTGTGTGTAATGAGATTCTTCCCGCCAGCCTGGTCCCAAAGCCAAGTCAGTCCCAAAAGAATATGGAGGATGCTATTAATTATGAAGCTGTTTGCTGTTTGCTACGGTTTCTTGTTGGCTAGCTCTGACTTAATTATTAACCCATAACTGCTAATCTGAGTACTTCCATGTGGTCTTCTCTTACCAGAGAAAGGGTCCGAACCTCTTACTCCTCTGGTGTCCTACATGGTAACTGACTGTGCCTCTGTTTCCCAGAATCCTCCTCGACTCCTAGTCCCACCTATCTTGCTTCCCTATTGGCCAACAGTGCTTTATTTATCAACCAATAAGACAAACAAATACACAGAAGGACTTCCCCCATCACCTGTGGATCCCGGAACATTTCTACAGTGCCAGACCTCTCTCCAAACCTATATTGGCTCCCACTATCAAGGCATCTCCTTTCTTGCCCTCCTCTATTCCTCCCGTCTCAGTCCTCCTGATCCTTCCTGTTTTCCACTCCCCTCCCCTTCTCCTCTCCATATCCTACCCCCCACCCCCAGTTCCCAATTTGCTCAGATGTTCTTGTCCCTTTCCCCTTCTTCGGGAAACCATGTGTTCTTCTCTTGGAGTCCTCCTTGTTCCCTAGTTTCTCTGGTGGTGTGGATTGTAGGCTGGTAGACCTTTGCTCTATGTCTAATATCCATATATGAGTGAGTACATACCACGCTTGTCTTTCTGAGAATGGGTTACCTAACTCAGGATGTTTTCTTCCAGTTCCATCCATTTGCCTGTGAATTTCCAGATTTCATTGTCCCCCCACTCCCACTGAATAGTACTCCATTGTGTAAATGTACCACGTTTCCTCCATCCATTCTTCGATTGAGGGGCATCTAGGTTGCTTCCAGGTTCTGGCTATTACAAATAATGCTGCTATGCACATAGTTGAACATATATCCTTGTATGAATATGCATTCTTTGGGTATATGCCCAAGAGTGGAATTGCTGGATCTTGAGGTAGACTGATTCCCATTTTCCTGAGAAGCCACCATACTGATTTCCAAAGTAGTCATACAAGCTTGCACTCACACCAGCAATGGAGGAGTGTTTCCCTTTCTCTACATCCTCTCCAGCATAGACTGTCATTGATATTTTTGATTTTAGCCATTCTGGCCAGTGTAAGATGGAATCTCAAAGTAGTTTTGACTTGCATTTCCCCAATGGCTAAGGATCTTGAGCACTTTCTTAAGCGCCTTTCAGTCATTTTAGATTCCTCTATTGAGAATTTTCTATTTAGTTCTGTACCCCACTTTTTAATTGGATTGTTTGGTATTTTTGGCTAGCTTCTTGATTGAGTTCATTGTATATTTTGGAGATCAGTCCTCTGTCAGATGTGGGATTGGTGAAGATCTTTTCCCATTTCTGTGGGCTGCTATTTTGTCTTGTTGACTGTGCCCTTTGTCTTACAGAAGCTTCTCAGTTTCAGGAGGTCCAATGTATTAATTGTCAATCTCAGTGTCTGTGCTACTAGTATTATGTTCAGGAAGCGGCCTCCTGTACCAATTCTTTCAAGGATATCTACCATTTTTTCTTCTAAGAGGTTCATTGTGGCTAGATTTATGTTGACATCTTTGATCCATTTGGACTTGTTTTGTGCATGCAATAGATGTGGATCTATCTGCAATCTTCTACATGTCAGTATCCAGCTATGCCAGCACCATTTGCTGAAGATGCTTTCTTTTTTCCATTGTATAACTTCAGTTTCTTTGTCAAAAAATCAGGTGTTGATAGGTGTGTGGGTTAATATCAGGGTTTCCGATTCGATTCCATTGGTCTACCTGTCTATTTTTGTGCCAATACCAAGCTGTTTTCAGGACTATAGCTCTGTAATAGAGCTTAAAGTCAGGGATGGTGATGCCTCCAGAGGTTCCTTTATTGTACAGGGTTGTTTTGGCTATCCTGGGTTTTTTATTTTTCCATATAAAGTTGAGTATTATTCTTTCAAGGTCTGTGAAGAATTGTGTTGGGATTTTGATGGGGATTGCACTGAATCTGTAGATTGCTTTTGGCAACATTGCCATTTTTACTCTGTTGATCCTATCTATACAAGAGCATAGGAGCTCTTTCCATTTTCTGGTATCTTAATTTCTTTGCTATACAGGTCTTTCACTTGTTTGGTTAGCATTACCCCAAGATATTTTATGTTGTTTGTGGCTATTGTAAAGGGTGATGTTTCTCTGATTTTTTTTAGCCCGTTTATCCTCTACATTTAGTAGGGCTACTGATTTTTTTGAATTAATCTTGTATCCTGCCACTTTGCTGAAGGTGTTTATCAGCTGTAGGAGTTCCCTGATAGAGTTTTTCGGGTCACTTATGTAAGCCATCATTATCATCTGCAAATAGTG